AGTCAGACGCTTAACTGACTGAGCCACCCAGGCGCCCCTTTCCTCTTATCTTTCAATTTTTTTTCTTTCTAATTTTTTAAAAATATATTCCATTGTTTTATAACTCCCTTAGCTGAACACAGTCTATACATTTTAGTCTGACTTCTTTCTCAAGGTCAGCATTTAGGCCAAATATTTCCTTCTAGGTATTGCTAGAGGTACCTCTCACAAATTTGATGCAAATTTTCATTCAGTTATAAGTTGTTGGGTTTTTTTCTTTTTACAGTTTATTTATTTACTTAGAGAGATAGCATGAGCAGGAGAGGGGTAGACAGAGGGGGAGAGAGAGAACCCAAGTAGGCTCCGCACGGTCAGCACAGAGCTGGATGCCGTGCTCCATCCCATGAACTTTGAGATCAGGACCGGAGCTGAAGTCAGATGCTTAACCCACTGAACCACCCAGGTGCCCCTTTCCCACTAATTTCTAACTTAACTGCATTATAGTCTGCATATCAGTTGTTTGAAATTTGTTGAGACTTGCTTTATACCCTAAAACATGGTCACTTTAGGTAAATGTTTCTCTGTACTTAACAATATTTTTTTCTGCTAGGTTTACTGACGGCTGACAGGGGCATTTATAGTTTCACATCATGCTGTGGACTTGTCTATTTTTCCTAATAATTCTGTCCATATTTTGGTTTTCTTTCCTTTTATTTTAACTTCTCTATGTACTTACATTTTAGGTGTATCTTATTTTTTTATTTAAAGAAACTTTTTTAAAAAAAAATTTTTTTTTTCAACGTTTATTTATTTTGGGGACAGAGAGAGACAGAGCATGAACAGGGGAGGGGCAGAGAGAGAGGGAGACACAGAATCGGAAACAGGCTCCAGGCTCCGAGCCATCAGCCCGGAGCCTGACGCGGGGCTCGAACTCACGGACCGCGAGATCGTGACCTGGCTGAAGTCGGACGCTTAACCGACTGTGCCACCCAGGCGCCCCAAAGAAACATTTTTTTTAATGTTTGTTTACTTTTGAGATAGAGACAGAGTGTGAGTGGGGGAGGCGCAGGGAGAGAGGGAGACCCAGAATCCGAAACGGGCTCCAGACTCAGCTGTCAGCACAGAGCCCGATGTGGGATTTTAACTCACTGACCGCGAGATCATGACCTGAGCCAAAGTCGGACGCTTAACTGACTGAGCCACCCAGATGCCCCTTAGGTGTGTCTTATAACTGGGTTTTGTTTCCTTTTTTAAAAAATCCAATCTGAAAAAAAAAATTCAATCTGATAATCTCTGCCTTTTACCTAGGGAGTTTAAACAGTCTATCACTATTGTGGTTGCTGATACACTTGGATTTATAGCTATCATTTTATGTTTTCTGTATAGTAGAAACATATAGGAGTTTCTATGCTTTTTCTTCCTTTCTTGTCTTTTGGGTTAATCAACCCCTCCTCTGTCTTTGTCCCTATATTCTTGGGGTGCCTGGGTGAATCAGTTGGCTGAGCGTCTGCTCAGGTCATGATCTCATGAGCTCACTGTGAGTTTGAGCCCCACATCGGGATCTGCGTTGACAACCTGGAGCCTGCTTTGGATCCTCTGTCTCCCTTTTCTTTCTCCCCCTCCCCGGTGTGTTCTGTCTGCCTCTCTCTCTCTCTCTCTTTCTCTCTCTCTCTCAAAAATAAACGTATAAAAAAAGTTATACATTCTACTTATGGTCTATTTTTGGTACCATTAAGATTTTAACACAAATATTTAATGTTTCAAATGACTCAACCTGAGTAATACAAGTACCATAAGAATGCTTTAACCTAGTAACCCCTCTGGTCTTACATGTTGTCCAATATTTTAGTTAAAGTACATCTTTTAATACATTCTCCCATTCATAAGAAATATTCCATTTCTGATTAGAGATGTCTTTATTGGGACATGGTAAGTTGAAAGGAGTGTAAAATTTTAAAATAAATCACAAGCTGCATTCAGGGCAGTTGAGTCTCTGCTCTCAATTACTCTGCTTTTCAGTTTCCTTTCTACTTTTGGACCCCAGGGGATTTCCTTTATTTAGCTGCCAGAGCACCTTCACTTTTAAAAGGATGCTTTGGACTATTCCCAGCATTTCTGTGTTTGGTTTTAGGATGGTGTTTAGTTTATTCTGGCGTATCTTTGGAAAGGGAAGTTTTTTTTCTCTACTATCCTTTTCTGGGAAAGAGTGAAGAAATGTATCGAAATTGATTACAGTCTTCTAGTCGGAGAATATCTGATGCATCTCGGGCGAGGGTCTGTTTTTGAACCTGATCGCATACATAGAACAAACACTGAGTACAGACACCCACCTCTGTGGGCAAGGCAGCAAGGTGGGATAGAGAGAACAACAGCTCATGTTATCACTTATGTGCCAGGCTTTGTTCTGTTAACTTTGTATGTAGTAACTCATTTAATCCTCACAATAACCTTATGAGGTAGGTACTATTATTCTACTCATTTAACAGATTAGAAAGCTGAAGCACAGGGAAGACAAGTAACTAACATGCTCAACTATTCCACAGGTGGTAAGTAGATGGGCTAAGATTTAAATCTAGGCACAGTGTCTAAAGCCTGATTTCCTAAGTACTTGTGTTGTGTGGTCTCAGGGAACACTGAAATTGGAGTCCAAACTCCTGGGTTCACTTAGGCCATTCATTCTCTTCCTCTTCATTGGGCAAACTGTGGGTCTCTGTTTCTTCTGTAAAGCAGGGACCATTATCTCCTGCACTTGGCCTGTGAGTGCTACCAAGATATGTTTGACTTAGTCAGGAAAACTTTCCCCTCAGTCATTCAGTAAATATCTGAGTACTTCCTGTGTGCCAGACACTGTGCTAATTACTAGGAGTCACATCAACGTCACTGGAGAATTGATTTTGTGCCTCCTGTGAGACAGATAAGAATTCTACCAAGGAAGCCATTGGAGTGGACAGATTTAGGAAGTAATGAGCTTTTTTTCACTCAGACAGAGTCAGAATATCAGCTGGACTTCTGTTGGTATGGATCCTGTTGATGGGGATGACTTTGTAGGCCTTCTGCTCCGCAGTTCTACAGTTCTCTGACCTTGGTCCCTTGGCCTTGGTATTGTCAGCTGGGAGATAATGGGTTCTAGTTGATCTCTAGACCATGCCCAGCTCTTCGATTCTGCGATCCTGCCTCTGTGAGATATGACCTGGATGTCTGGATCTCACATTTCTTTACCCTAAACCAGATTTGGGAACTCTTAAGGCTGAGATGGCTTAAACACAGTTTCTTCCATTACCGTGCCCGTGGCGGACATTGCAAATCAATCCCAGCATTCCTAAACACTGAGCCCAAGTCCTCTTCATCTTGACCGGGCTTCGCCAGGAGCCGATTCCTTGTCTTATCCCTCATCAGAGCACGGCCAGCGCGGCACGGGAACTGGTCATCCAGAGGCTGGGTCTGGTGAGGAGTCTGTGCGAGAGTGAGGAGCAGCGGTTGCTGGAACGGGTACACGGCGAAGAGGAGCGGGCCCACCAGAGTATCCTGACACAGCGAGTACACTGGACTGAGGCACTGCAGAAGCTCGACACCATCCGGACCAGCCTGGTGGACATGCTCACCCACCTGGATGACCTCCAGTTGATTGTAAGTCAGGCAGGGGTGAGGACACAAGCAGTGAATCAAATACCCCCAAAGTTTAAAACATCGAGAATGTTTATGAGGTAGGAGCTGGGTAGATAAGGATACTTTGGAGCAGGGATGAAGCAAGGGAATAAAATTATATGGATTTTTTTTTTTTTTTTTTTTTTTTTTTTTTTTTTTTTTTTTTTTTTTTTTTTTTTTTTTTTTTTTTTTTTTTTTTTTTGTACCTGACAGCTATTCTTTCAATAGTGAGCAAGTATTTACTGAGTATCTGCTATGTGCCATTGTGCCACAGGGTGGAGTTATAGGATACAGCTGTTAGTACCCCACAGCTTTAAGAAATACACAAACTGACAACTAGGATAATGGAGGGTTATGGCCCATAGTAGAGGACCTCACAGTCCAGGCTTGGGGGTGGCAGTGGTCAGGGTGGGCTTCCTGGATGGAGTAACTCAGAAGCCGGAGCCTGAGAGATAAGAGGAGCAGCTACGTTAAAGGAAGTGGAGAGGTAGAGAGGGTTCACAAATGTGTAGGGGGAGGGAACTGACAAGACGTCCTTAATCTGACCACCCAGAAACTACTATCGTTAATATTTTGGTACATATCCTTGCAAAATACTTTATATAGATATGCAGATACTTGCTGTTTTAATGGGCTGGTTTGACATCGGAGTAAACATGCCACAAAGAGAAATGAGGATGTGGAACAACTGAGCTGTTCTTCACTGCGGTTCAAGTAGGGCAGTTTGTGGAATGCCCTAGATTGTGCATTCATTTAGCCACACAGCTTTCAGGGACAGAGTACATTCTGTCCCGAACACTGGGACAGTCACATTAGAGGATTCAGTAAGAGTGCCAGCCATCTAGGAGCTGACAGTCTTGGTGGGGGTGAAACGTTAGTAAATATGTGAGTGTCCTCAAGTGTTACTTAGGGAAACTGGGGATGCCATGGGGCACAGCAGACAGTGATTCATTCTGAGTGCACGATGGGAAGGTGCGCAGAGAAGAACCCAGATAGCTTTGTTTTGGGTCTTCAAGCAGGAATAGCATTCTTGTCCTAGGGTCTGTCCACATGGCACATGTCCTCCATATGCCAGTTGAGTACATTCAAGTCTTGACTACCTGCTGACGTCCTGGTTCCAAGCCTGACTCTGTTTTCTTTTCTCACAGCAGAAGGAACAGGAGATTTTTGAAAGGTGAGTATGGCCCCGTAATTTGCTTGGGCAGTCACGGAAACCGTTGCATTCAGGCCCTGCTGCTCTTGGGAGAAAGCCCAAGGCGTGCAGCTGAGTGGCTTCCCTTGGAGTCATGCTCCACGGATAGGAGTCTTCCTGCCCCTAACTTGGAGAACTGCTTTAGATCCATGTGGAAGGGTAGTGAAATAAATACTTATTAATCAGAGGTTGGCCATGGGCTTTCTTAAATGTTATCCTATGAAAAAAAATACCCAGGGGTGCCTGCGTGGCTCAGTCGATTAATCATCCGACTCCTGATCTCAGCTCAGGTCTTGTGCTCAGGGTTGTGAGTTCAAGCCCTATGTTGGGCTCCATGTGGGGTGTGAAGCCTACGTTAAAAAAAAAAAAATCCAGTTACCCTGTTGGAGTGTTTTACATCCCCCATCTACAGATGAAAATACTGATGTTCCAAGATGGGCAGGGACTTGCCTAAGCCCCAGAGTTGGGGCATGGACCGATACCCGACACCTGTCCCACTGCTGTCTTCCCTGCCTCACTCTCCCCTTCTCTGACAAAAGAATCTTTGAGGGGCATCTGGGTGGCTCAGCCAGTTAAGCATCTGACTCCTGATTTCGGCTCAGGTCATGATCTCACAGTTCTTGAGTTTGAGCCCCTCGTTGGGCTCTGCGCTGACAGCGTTGGAGCCTACTTAGGATTCTCTCTCTTTCCGTCTCTTTCTGCTCCTTCCCTGCATCTTCTCTCTCTCTCTCTCCCCCCCACTCTCTCCCTCCTTTCCTCTCTCTCTTTCTCTCAAATAAATAAACTTAAAAAAAAAAGAATCTTTGAAACTTAAGTCTGTATTACCACTCAAAATTTGCATTTTAATTAAGCAGTTATAAAAGCATTTCACCGAGTTCTTCCTAGGTCCTGAAAAGCTGAGAGCCAAGAGCCTGAGGAAGTAGCCAAGAAGATGCAATTTGCCAGGCAAAGAAATTAAATTCTTGGGGCGCCTAGCTGGCTCAGTGGGAGGAGCATGTGATTCAGTCTCGGGGTTGTGAGTTTGAGCCCCACATGGGGTGTAGGGATTACTTAAAACTTAAAAAAAAAAAAAAAAAAGGCTAAGGAACAATTCCAGATTAAAAGACCAGATGGATCAAGAAACAAACAAAAACCCACACCAAACACTTTTAAGAACTTCTGTGGCACAAGTGGCCACGTTTCTATGCACTGGATGTCAGATATAATAGTAGTGTGTCAGCGTTAAATTTCTGAACTTAATAGGGTTTCTGTAGTTGTGTAAGAGACTGTCTTTGTTCTTGAGAACAAGATGCTGAAGTATTTAGACATGAAAGGTCTCACTTTCTGCAACTTATTCTCAAATAGGTCAGAAAAAAAATAAGTGTCATATATTCACTCATTAAATAGATAGGAAGAGAATGAGCAACAGGCCAAGAAAGAGAGCAGATTTTTTAAAAAGAAAAAAAAAATTCTTACGTCTTCGGTGAGAGATTGCAGAGCTGTACTTGAGGAGCACAGACCATGCTTGTATATTTTAAATGTTTATTTTTGAGAGAGAGAGAGCATGCAAGCAGGGGAGGGCAGGGGGGCGTGCAGAGGGTTTGAAGCAGACTGCTGACAGCAGAGAGCCCGATGCAGGGCTCAAACTCATGAACTGTGAGATCACGACTTGAGCCAAAGTTGGATGCTTAACTGACCGAGCCACCTAGGTGCCCCCATTCTTATACATTTTTATATTTACAAAATTTTTTAATGTTTATTTATTATTTAGAGAGAGAGAAAGAGAGAGTGTGAGTGGGGAGGGGCAGAGAGAGAGGGAGACAAAATCCGAAGCAGGCTCCAGGCTTTGAGCTGTTAGCAGAGAGCTTGAACTCACGAACCACAAGATCATGACCTGAGCCGAAGTTGGACACTTAACCGACTGAGCCACCCAGGTGCCCTTATTTTTATATTTAAATTTCAGCAGTAATACATGTGCATGAGAGAAAGAGAAAACATGCCACCAATATAAAAACATGTAAAATTTCAAATGTCTCAGGGCACCTGGCTGGTTGAGATGGTAGAGTATGTGACTCTTTATCTCAGGGTCATGAGTTTGAGCCTCATGTTGGTCATAGAGATTACTTAAAAAATTGAAACATTGTAAGTGTCTCCATCACCCCTTCCCAATCCTGTTCCCTGGAGGTGATCAGTTTTAACAGTCAGATGTGTGTGTCTTGTGGACTTTCCTATGTAGATAGAATCCTAGGGGTGGTTACCACTCAAAAAAATTTTTTTAAGTTTATTTATTTTGTGAAAGGAAGTGGGGGGAGAGGCAGAGAGAGGGAGAGACAGAATCCCAAGCGGGCTCCGTGCCCTCAGCACAGAGCCCGACATGGGGCTCGAACTCACGAACTGCGAGATCATGACCTGAGCCAAGATCCAGTGTCAGACACTTAACCGACTGAGCCACCCAGGCACCCCTAAAAAAAAATTTTTTTTTTTTTTACCAGTTTGGTTTGTTTTATACTTGCTGTTCTTGAACTTACCAGGTTCTTTTGGAATCTCTCCATATCAGTATGTATAGATGTATGTCACTCTTTGGAAAGTCTGTGAAGCAATGCCCCCAATTTTATTGTCTCCTTTAAAGGCTTAGCTTGTTCCTACTTTTTCCCTCTTAGAATCATTCCACACGTCTGCTAGTCTTTCCTTTCTCCTTTACCTTCTTCATCTTCCTCTAAAACTGTCCTGTCTTTAATTTCAAGTTGCTCTGTGTTTTTGAAAAAAAAAAAACTGATCTTTGATTTTTTTGTTTTGAAATATTTCAAACATAGAGAAGATTTGCAAAAATAGTACAACAAACTATCCCTAGAAAGCTCTATTGTTAACATTTTGCCACATCTGCTCTCTTTCTTGGTCTGTTGGTCATTCGCTTCCTATTTAATGAGTGAATACTTAACACTTTTTTTTCTGACCTATCTGAGAGTAAGTTGTAGAAAGTGAGACCTTTTTCAGCATCCTCTCTCAAGAACAAAGACAATCTCTTACACAACTACAGGAACCTTCAGAAAATTTAATGTCGACATAATACTATTATATCTGACATACAGTCCATATTTAAATGTTGCCATTTGTGCCACAAAAGTTCTTAAGTGTTTGGTATGGTTTTTGTTTCCTGAACCATCTGGTCTCTCTCTTTTTTAAATGTCTTATTTATTTTTGAGAGAGAGAGAGAGAGAGAACAGAGTGCAAGTGGGGGAGGGGCAGAGAGAGAGGGAGACACAGAATCCAAAGCAGGCTCCAGGCTCCGAGCTGTCAGCACAGAGCCCGACCCTGGGCTTGAACTCACGAACCATGAAATCATGACCTGAGCCAAAGTCAGACGCTAAACCGACTGAGTCCCCCAGGCGCCCCCCCCCCAATCTGGTCTCTTTTAATCTGGAATTGTTCTTTAGCCTTTGTTTTTTCTTTTTAAGTTTTATTTATTTAAGCAATCTCTATACCCAACATGGGGCTCGAACTCACAACCTTGAGATCAAGAGTTGCTTGTTCCTCTAAGCTGGCCAGGCGCCCCTGTTCCTTAGCCTTTTAAAACAACAACAACAACAAAATACTTTTAAAGAGCCTAGAACAGTTTTATAGAATATCCCTCAGTTTTGATTTATCTGCTGGTGCCACATCCATGTCTGGGCTCGGCCCTGGCTGCCACAGCAACAGGTCCGGCTGCACAGACAGGCATTCGGATCCCAGCCCCACTGCACTCCCACTCCTTTGGGGTCACAGTTTCCCCTTCTGAACCATGGGGTGCCGGACCAGCTGGTTGTCTAGACGCTAGTGTCTGCCACTGGCCCCAGCTTTGCCTTGGGTTAGCTCAGCGCTGCCAACACAGGCGCTCCTCTTTCCTCCCCGCCTGATGGCTGGGGCTTCTCCAGCCCCAACTTCAGCGCTTTGAGAAGATGGCAACAGACCCTCTCTTGTCCTGACCACAAAGGGCCTTTGTTACCACAGCGGGCTCTCAGCTTTCCTAGGGCTCTGTCCATCTTGCTCCTCCCAAGCCAGGACAGGACAGTCAGTGACAGTCTCGCAAAGAGCTTGCATCCCTAAGGAGACATGCCCCACCCTCTCTCCCTGCTCCTTCACTGTGGGCAGGGCCAGGAGATTTGGGGAAGAGTGCGTGCCCTCAGAACTGCTGCCTGATCTCAGGGTTGGGGGCGGTGGCAGAGCTCTTTCTCAGCACCCAGTTCAGGTGTCTGCAAAGCTCAGTGATGGACCCTCACTTTGTCCTACACCCCTTAATCACTTTCATTTTAGATCAAGGGAGAAATTATGTTGAGGGGTGCCTGGACTCCAGACTGGGTTTGTTCTATTTCTGCATGGAGGCAGCACTTGAACCCAGCTCCCCTTTTTAAGCGGAGTGCGTTCTCTGAATCTCTGTTCTTTCCTGTCAAATGGGATAACAACTACCTCCCAGGTTATAGCAAAGATTACGTGAGATTCTACAGAGAAAACCTGGATACTTAATAAATGGTAATTCTCCCCTCCTAGGCATCTTCTGTTCCCATATTCCCTCCAGCCAAACCCAGTGCCCTTCTGAGCCAAGGAGAGGTAGCTATTGGGAGCAAAGCACCAGAACTTATTTATGGTTCGGGTGATAACTGATAGTCCCTTCTTGTGGGATCTCTCAAAGGTGTTTGCATTTTAAGAGCAGAGGAGCGGCTGTACCTTCTGACCAAACCAATAGGTTTTGCTGCAGTAGGTTTTGGAAGGAGGTGAGATTTTCTCTGCACAGGATGGGGGAGTGGAAAGACTGGGGTGTAAGAGGCTCAGGTCGCATCCCTGCTCTGCTGCTAACTTAGAGACATAGCAGGTTGCTTCCCCTGCAGAGCAGACAGACTCCAAGTTCTACCACTGGCACCAAATATTTACTTCCCTGGAAATCATCTGCCTGGCTGGAATTAATGTTCCGGTGGGGGGGGGGGGGGCATAAGGGGAAAACCCGTTTTTCTGTTTGGCTCAAATCTCCTTTGGGGGCTCCTGTGTGGGGCCGGCTGCCAATCTTGGGGTCACCCTCATGGGAAGAGGATTTTATTTATTTCTGTCTAGTTTTTTGTTTGTTTGATTGTTTGTTTTCCTCCACAAGGACTGAGGAAGCAGAAGGCATTTTGGATCCCCAGGAGTCGGACAAGTTAAACTTTAATGAGAAGTGCATTCGGAGCTCACTACTTACCCAACTCTGGGTGACCGCGGTTCTTGGGTCCCTCTCAGGTTAGGAGCTGTTAGGGCCCAGCATCAGCTGAACACCTGGCTGGCTGGCTGGCTGACTGGCTGGGGGGTTGCTGCTGGGTCAGGCTGGGGACCAGAGCATCTGGCTCGGTAGCTAAGCACCGAGTGACGCTGGATGCAGCCTTGTTGGTGGAGCCAAGGTTCTGGACGGGCTTGGGGCAGCTGGGCCAGGTCCTTTCCGTTTCCAGACTAAACTGCTCTGTTGGGCCTAAGTGATATCTTGTTCCCAGAAATCACATCTATGTCCTGCCCTAGTGGGACAGCTCAGTATTCTTAATTGGAACCTTAGTTTCTCTTTAAAAAGAGATCATTGATGGCCAACTGGAAAGCATCTGGAGCGAGAACGGCCCTGCCTGGATTCACCTCACTTGTTCACTTAAACGCTGCTGACTCAGGCAGACCGTGGCCTGGCCTTGTGCCGTATGCTAAGGCCTCAGATGTGAATGCCACACGGTCTTTCCCTGCAGGAATTCCCTCCTAGTGCCAAAGTTCTCAAAGCAGAATCCCCCAAGCTAGATGGAAGCTTCTGTGTTCCTAGTTGTCGTGTTTGCACGATTCACAGAGAGGTTTGGTTAACGGATTGAATTTTTCCTCAGTTTTAGCCCTCCTCCCCCATGGGTTAGCCTAAAATTTTTAGTACAAGCTATAGCTTGTCTTCTGTAGATGCTGGTATCAGAGAGTGCCCAATTTGCCAGCAGTCCCACTTAGTTAGTTGTTGGAAAAGTGCGTATCTGATGCTTCCTGGCTCCCAGGGGTCATTCCCCCAGGACAGGTCTGATCTGGAGGCCACAGATAGGCCCAGCTGGAATCACTGCAGTCGATGCCGGATGCTAGATGTAGGAACAAAATCTTCATTTTGCCCTGCTCCCAACTAGGTGTGTGACTTTGGGCAACTTGCTTCTCCTCTCTGGGCCTTATTTCTAGTTTACAGATGAGGATCCTGGACTAATAGTAACTACTGTTATTATGGCCACAATTTATTGAGCACCTATTAATACTGGGCACTTTGTAGGTATCATCTCATTTAGTCCTCATGTCCACCCTGTGGTAAGTCCTATTTATCCCCATTTTACAGATGAGGGAACTGAGGCTCAGAGAGAGTAAATGGCTTGCCTGAGGTAACACTGCCACTGGGTGGTGAGGGAGCCCTTTGCTGCCTGGCAGGACCAGGTTAGGGCTGAGGTTGGCCTTGGGCAACTCTGAGAATTGTTTCTGGCAGGCACAGAGGACGTGCGTATTGATGAGAGGACCGTCAGCCCCTTCCTGCAATTGTCAGACGATCGAAGGACCCTGACCTTCAATGCCAAGAAGTCCAAGTCCTGTGCAGATGGCCCGGAGCGCTTTGACCACTGGCCCAATGCCCTGGCCGCCACCTCCTTTCAGGCTGGGCTGCACACCTGGATGGTGAACGTCCAGAACAGTTGTGCCTATAAGGTGGGTGTGGCCTTAGGCCAGCTGCCCCGAAAGGGCTCTGGCAATGACTCCCGGCTGGGCCACAACGCCTTCTCCTGGGTCTTCTCCCGCTATGACCAGGAGTTTCGTTTCTCGCACGCTGGGCAGCACGAGTCCCTGGCACTGCTGCGTTGCCCCGCCCAGCTGGGCGTGCTATTGGACTTGCAGGCACAGGAACTGCTGTTCTACGAGCCGGCCTCGGGTACGGTGCTCCACACCCACCATGTGCCCTTTTCTGGGCCCCTCTTCCCGGTCTTTGCCGTGGCCGACCAGACCATTTCCATCATCCGCTGACCTTTGGCCACAGGGAGCCCAGGCCTCCTCCCTACTACGCCTCCAGGCCATGTTCCTGCCCAGTGTCCTTTTTCCAAATGTTGCCCTGAAGGGACAGCTTTAGGAGGGGTAGGGATCCATTTCAGATCTGGGTACAGCTGTTAAGTGCGAGGTATCTACAGTAGGCCTGCTACTCCCTGGCCTTAGTCTCTCCCAAATCCACCATACATCAGCTCCTCCGAGGGTGTCTCGTTCACCACTTTATCTCTGGCATCCGGCATGGTGGCTGGTGCCTAGTGATTGTGCAATAAATATTTGGCGAATGTATGGACGGATGGAAAGGTGCCTGGGTGTATGTGGTAGACTCTTCTGGGAAAGCACAGCCTTCCAGCCCTCTGCCCCCAGCTTGGAGCATGTCCTGTGGCTGAAACTCTTTCATCCCTCAGTTTGGTGCTTCTCAGTCCTTTTCCTGACAAGGCACAGAGAGAACATCTTTTTCTAGCACACGAGGACAACCTGAAAGGGATCCCAAACTCCTGCTAGGCTGCTCTTGGCCACAGGGGGCGCTGTGTCCCACCAGGTCCAGCCTGATGGTTCAGAAGACTGAAGGGATCCTACCTACAGGTAACTCGACCGCAGCACATCCATTGGCAGCTCTGCCTCAGACTTGGCAGCTGAGCTCGGCTGTGCCCACCTGTGGTCACAGGGACGAACTTTTCCCCCACCAAACCCCCCCCTCCCTGCCCAACATAATGTGGAGACCTGGGGTAAGGGCTTCAAGTCCTAGAGAGAGCTGAGGGAGTAAGAGGACCAGCCTTACCAAACACGTATGTTATTAAAGATTTTACAAGATTGAAGTTTCTTCCATGTTCTTTGCTGGTAATTGGGCAAATCTCCCAAGTGCTAGCTCATGTCTTAAGAGGTGCACTTGCTAGGAAATCAAGGTCTTCCTCACCCGCGTCCGCATTCCCAGCTCAGCACACACAGCCAAAAGAGCCCTGAGATGGTTTCGTGCCCTGCATGGCTGGCACCGAGGGCAAGGCCCTTCCTGTTCTCTGAGGTCATATTAGACCAGTGGTCCTCACAGTGGTTTTATCTGGGAACACGGTTCAAAGGCAATCTTACCTACAACTTCAGGCCCCTGGGCTCAAAGATGGGGGCCAGAGCCCTCTCCACTCTTAAGTTTGTAGAGCCTGATGCAGGGCTCTAACTCACAAACTGCGAGATCATGACCTGAGCCAAAGACACTTAACTGACCTGAGCTACCCATGCGCCCCTAAGACATGGAATCTTTAAAACCTAGCTAGCTTACGTCCGTCCTTCAGTCTCCAACGACTCCCCGTTTCCTACACTCCTGTCACCTCAAGCTCCAGTCCCTGTTCCCTGTGCTGTCCTCCCCCCGTCCCCAGTGCGAACACCTACGACTGGAGTGCCCTTCAAAACTGACCTCTAGAAAATCTTCCCTATTCTACCAGGATCTCCACTGCACCATGTCCCATGGAACACAGCTCTCTGCTTGCAACTTGGTGGTCAAGCCAAGGGCTTTGGAGTCAGGCATGCCTAAATCAGAACCCTGGCTCTCTCACATACTACCTGTGACCTCAGGCTCCTTCTAAATCGGTTTCTCATTTGTAAAGTGGAGGTCACACTATCTCTGCCCATCAGGTAGCTTTGAGGGTGTTTTATTTACTGAGGGTTCTAGATGCATATAAAGGACTAACACGTGGCAAGCGGAAATGAAGTTTCTTCTCATGACTAATTATGGTGCTCCTTGTCTACAATCCTGCAAACACTAGAGGCATGTCCTAGAGGGCATGTCCCTACAGCAGAGCTTAGCACCCCAATTTCCAAACTAAGCTCCTCTGAACTTCCACTTCTAGGGAGTTGAGGCTTCAAGGGCCCGACTGAGGGGCTCTAGGACCTGCTTCAGCTCTAGCAGTTTCTCACTTTTCCTGTTTTGCATATTGGGGTTCCAGTAAGATCTCCCATAACAAAAGGGCCCTGCTGCTAATACAAAGTTTGACAGTGCCTGGTTTTGTTTTTTTTTTTATAATTTTTTAAAAAGTTTATTTTACTTATTTTGAGAGAGAACGAGCACAGGAGGGGCAGAGAGAATCCGAAGCAGGCTCCGCAGTGACAGTGCAGAGCCCAAGGTGGGGCTCTAACTCACCGACCGTGAGATCATGACTTGAGCCAAAATCAAGTGCTGGTCCTTAACCAAACGAGCCACCCAGGCGCCCCGACAGTGCCTGGCTTTGAAGCTAGTTGGGCTCTCGGTGAATCTTGTAGGTGGGGGGGTGGGAAAGAGACACAGGTGTGAACAACTTCAGCAACCAGAAGCAGGTTGCAGCAGGGCTAAAAGCCCTGTTTTCACTGCTTTATAGTCACAGTGCCTTTGGACGCTGCAGAGAGAGGGGCAAAGGCCAGATCTCAGGAAAGAAGGGGCTCTCTGCAGCGTTTGCTGGGCCCAGCCACTTCCCTCATCAGATTCAAAGTTACGGGGGTGAGACTTCCAGGTGGTCAAGGGCAGGCAGGAGATGGGACAGTGAGGGGAGGAGGCATTCTTGAGATACAGAGTCTTTGATGGCAGCATCCAAAGGCTCTGGGCCGACCACCAGGAAGCTGTGCATACCTACAGCCCGCGCCCCCTTATAATCACAGGGATAACTGTCCCCAATATGGGCTGCCACTGCCGGTTCCACCTGAGCAAGCCGCAAAGCCTCACGGAAAATTCGGGGGTCGGGCTTGGGCCAGCCGGAAGCCTCAGAGGTCAGCACAAAGTCAAAGTATTCCCTCAGGCCAAGACCCATCAGGATGTCCTCTAGACGCCGGTCAAAGTTGGAGACCACTGCCAGCCTCAGACCTCGTTTTCGGCACTCCCTCAGGGTGGCCTCAGCCCCCTCCAACACCTGCCAGGTGAAGGGCTTGCTGAAGTCCTCGTACAGCTGGTCAGCGATGGGGGTCACAGCCTGGGCATCTCGAACACCTGCTAGGTAGAAGGTCTGTAAGACCACATCCACCCACCACCGGCGGGAGGTGAGGCCTTGGCTCAGGCCATAGTTGGGGAAGCTGAGGCTCTGAGCCCTGTACGCCTGCCTGAAGGCTTGTCCCAGGGAGGCGGCCTCCACCTCCAGCCCGTGGGCCCGGGCCTTGGAGGCATATTCCTCTCCCACGGGGTGGCGGAGCCTGAGCAGCGTATCCTTCACGTCCCATGTCAGCAGTCGTATCTGTAGCCGATGCGCCATGCGTCTGCAGGAGGGGGGGGGGCACGTCCACCCCAGGTCTGCCAGGGGTTAAAGGGAACCTGAGCCGGACAAGACCCCCTCCACAACCTAAAGGTCTTCTCTTTCCAGGCCTTGTGTGTCAAAGTTGCTGGCACTTCCTCACAGCAGAAGATCCTGGAATGAGACGGCAGTGATGTGGAAGTTCAGGCCTTGGAGTCAGAGACACATTGGGTTCAAATTCTGATGCTGCCAACTGACTGTGTGGCCCTAGGAGTGTCACTCTCTGAATCTGTCTCCTAATGGAAGAGGAGCACCATGTCCCAGCCTCACCAGATTGTTGCATTAAATGAGATCGTCCGCTCATTCCACGACAAATTTCTGGGCACCTACTGTGCACTAGATACTAGGGAACAGGATAGATTTCCAGCCCTTATGGCATTTAGACAAAGAACTATGCAAACACTTAAGCATAATGAAGTCAGCATGTGCCACCAGGATGTAAACCCAGGGATCCCATCTAGTTTGTTGAACTTCGTAAGCAAGTCAAGTTTCAGTGGAGATCTGAAGAATGACTATGCAGGAAAAAAGAGGTAGTTAAGTGTTCCTGCACTGGAAACCGCAAGTGCAAAGGCCCTGAGGTAGGTCAACAGCAAGTTGGCTGCTTTGGGTAGATGGGGGCTGCTGAGGCAGGGCCTTGTAGGTCAAGGTAAGGAAACAGTTATGATTGCTATTACTATTGTTAACAATGCCAAAGACACAGACGCAGACCATGTGACCAACCCCTTGTTTTGGGAAGAATGAGCCAGAGAGGGGCAGATACTTGCTTAAGGTGAGTCTGTGACACAGCCAACACCAGAACCTAAACTTCCAGACTCTGACCAGTGCGCCGTTCCACTGCATCATGCTTAGACAAATGTGGATTTTAAAACAATCTGGTTTTGGTGAATCTGCACAAAAGGCAGACAGAGAAGCCCAGTCCTGACTCTATGCCGGAGCCCCAGCTTCATCTTCACTGGAGGTAACAAGGTCGGCCTGCCTGGGTGCAGAGCCAATGAAAGGATCACGGACTCCATGCACAAGAAACGAATTCCTCAGCCTGTGGTCCAGAGGCTGGGTGGAGCTTCTTGCCCCAGACACTGGATTCCAGACAGTCCAAGGTTGTCTAGTCCCAAACTGAGGGGCCAAAGTTCAGAGCACAGCCAAAAGTTGCCGCTGAGGAAGGGAAGGGCTGGTGAATCTGGGGACAAGCCTTAGGGGAAGTCTGTCAAGGAAATGAATTTAAATGAATCTGGAAATTATGGAGACCCCTCCAAAGACCCTCTCTCACTTTACTGGTGGGTAGATGGAGGCCCGGCGAGGGGCGGGAACTCGCCCAGAGCCACGCAGGAAGTCAGTGGCACAGCGAAGACTAGAACAACGAGCTCTGGCTCCCGACCCACAGCATTTCCCATTTCTGGAAGCTGGGGCTGAGGGCTCTGGCCTACAAGCCTGAATTGCTAGGCCTTCCTTCTCACCTCCAGGGCTCGATGGCGACAAAGTCCAGGTAACCCGCTGTTAGAGCGAAATCTCTACAGCTGCCGTTTGCAGCGTGACCTGGGGCGTAACGTGGCTGCGGCCGCGCTCCTGGGGCCCCTTCTCAGCTCCAGCGCGCCCCGAAGACTCGGCGCCCGCCCCCGGCTCCCGGCCCCGGGGCTCAGGACCCACTTACTGCGCCGTGAAGCCGGTGCAGGGAAGAACCACCGGCAGGAAGGCTGCACGGCACTGGCGGCTCGTGGAGGCGCGCCCGACCGCGCGGCGGGGCCAGAGGCCCGCCCCCTCCTCGCCCCGCCCCCGGCCCTGGGCCTTCACCGCTCCTCCTCCGGCCGCTTCTTGGCCTCCTGGTTCTGTCCTCTCCGCCTCCCGCCGCACCTTCACCTGCCTTGCCCTGGTCACTGACGCCTGCCTGCCACTGCACTTCTCTGCCTTCCTTCTCCTTTCCCTCTCTACCCATGCCTGAGACCCCACACCCTCTCATTCCCGGCCCGCCCCGCCCCACCCCGCCTCTCAGTCACCTTGCACACTCTCCTTCTCTTTCCTGCCCTGCCTTTAGTCACTGTCTGTCTTATCCCCTTTAGGTGATTTCTCCTTCTCCTTCCTCACCCTCCGCCTTTCTCGGACCCGGACGCCCCCGGGAGGTTCCCAGGCTGACTTGGGAAGAGGGGGATTTGGGTCCCCTTCTGGATTGCTGAGTGCTGTGTGGACGGACAGGCATGTCCTCTGTTTGAGTCTCCAGTCGGTACGAGGAAGGAATTGCTTTCACGTGGAAACTTGTCTAACCCAAGGCAGTTTGCTGAGGTTAGGGTCCTCTGCAGTAATCTAGCTGCTTTTTTTTTTTTTTCATTTGATATAAAATAATCATCCTCAAAAATGTTTAAAAGTTTAAATGTTTAAATGTTTAAACTGTTTAAACTGGGGCGCCTGGGTGGCGCAGTCGGTTGAGCGTCCGACTTCAGCCAGGTCACGATCTGCCGTGAGTTGAAGCCTGAGCCCAGCCCGTCAGGCTCTGTTCTGGGCTGATGATTGAGCCTGGAGCCTGTTTCCGATTCTGTGTCTTCCCTCTCTCTGCCCTTCCCCCGTTCATGCTCTGTCTCTCTCTGTCCCAAAAATAAATAAACGTTGAAAAAAAATATTTTAAAATAAAAAATAAACTGTTTAAAGTAAAAAGCCCAATCTCGCTCACTAACGACTCATTGAGCATTTCTCTGCTCTGACTCTGTCCTTCACTGAGGATGCGGTAGGGGAGAAAAGACGGGATTCCTGCCTTCATGGAACATGAGAGGGGCAGACACAGATCAAGTAAATAAGATTTCAGATAGTGATGAGTGCTCTACAGGCAATAAAAGAGAATGGCGTCAGAACAGTGTGGGGGCCTCTGGGTGAGATGGTTAGGGGAGGGGCAAAGATCTGAATGGCTGCCTGGTGAAGATTAAGGGACAAGTACTGCAGGTGAGAAAGCTGGGAGAGCAAAGGTGCTGGGGCCCCAGCCTGTTTACTGAGCTAGGGCAGTGGCTCATGGGGGCAGGGAGAAAAGGAGGGCCTCTGCCACCCCACCCCCCACCCCCTTATTCCCCAGGGGTTGCTGAAGTAGCAGATTTGGTTATTATGCTATCATTTTTCTAGGAGCACACAAACCTGCATATATTTTTTTCTTCCTTCTTCTCCGCACCCCACCCCCTCTTTTTAAAACAAAACTTCCTCCTATATTCTAAGGCTGGTCTGTTCGCTTCATTCAGAACCACCTGACCCTCACTGGGCTCAGGCCTGGGAGGAAATACAAAGTGCAGAGTCACAGACCCTAGTGCTGTCACAGACAGCAAGGGGGAGCTTGACTTCCAAGTTCATTATGTGTTACAAGCGTGATTCCTACGAGTGGAAGTAGAAAGGGTGAGTGGGAGGCCAGAGGCCCATCTGCATTTCACAGAAGGGAGTTCAGGTTCCAGGGTCACCTAAAGCGCATTTCCTTAGGTTCTGGTCCCAACTCTGCCACCTGATTCTTGGTGAGCCCTTCACTGAATTCTTTTCCTCTCTGGGCCCCAGTCCCCAATATGCAAAATTGGGAGATTGGACAAAATAACTTCCAACTGAAGTCCAGGCCAGCTTCTAAGTTAATTTCCAAGGTAATTAACTTTGTCCATGGAACCTCAGTTTTTCCATACGTCAGGATTAAATGAGATCACATGAAAAAAGCTCTTTGAGAAGATGATTTTTTTTTCTTTCAATTTTTTAGGGGCCTTGGGCTGACTGAGTAGGTAGGGCATGTGACTCTTGATCTCATGGTTGTGAATTCAAGCCCCACGTTGGGGCTTACTTTAGAAATTCCTTAAAATATAACAATACAACAAAATCAAAAACAAATCTGAGTATAGTTGACACACAATGTTACATAGTTTCAGGTGAACAACATAGTGATTCAACTTCTTTATACACAGCATAAGCTGTGCTCACAAGTGTAACTACCACCTGTCACCATGCAACACTATTACAACATCACCGACTGTATTCCCTATGCTGTACTTTTTATTCCCATAACTTATTCATCCCATAACTGGAAGCCTGTCTCTCCCACTCTGCTTCACCTGTTTTGGCCGTCTGTCCACCCCCTAGAAGATGATTCTTTTCAGATAATTGAGTCTCCTGAGAGGTTCAGGATTTTGTTCGGTCATGTAACTATTTCAACCCGGGGCACCTGTTGCACAAGGCAGGTGTGTCCCTTGTAATCCATGTGAACGTGGCCCTCATTTTACCGTTTGTCCTTTACATTCTGCCTTTTTCTTTCTCTGAGTAACATTTCAACAGAGATAAAGGAGACTTGAGTGTCACAGAAAAGCCAAGGGCAGGTCCCTGCTGTTCTGAAACAAGAAACAAGCTTTAAAAAATTTTTTTTAATGTTTATTCATTTTTGAGAGAAAGAGAGAGAGAGAGAGAGAGAGAGAGAGAGCATGAGCGGGGGAGGTGCAAAGAGGGAGGGAGACACAGAATCCAAAGCAAGCTCCAGGCTCTGAGCTGCCAGCACAGATCCTGACGTGGGGCTCAAACCTGTGAACAGCGAGATCATGACCTGAGCCAAAGAAACACACTTAACCCTGTGCCACCCAGGCTCCCCAGAAACAAGCTTCTTTCTGGTTTGCTAGTTCAAAAATGGGTACACTTGGGGTACCCGGCTGGCTCAGTTGGTAGAGTGGGCGACTCTTGATCTCAGGGTCATGAGTTCAAGCCCCACATTGGGTGTAGAGCTTAGTGGTTATAGTTTCCTAAGTCAGATGGCAGAAATCCTCCTTGGAGGGTTTCATCCCTTGACCTATCCTGTGTGGGCTGTGGCCTCACGATTGCCCCTGGAGACACCTGGGGTGTGATTAGACCAAACACTGCCATAGATCCACTGCTCGTGGAGGAAGCCAAGTTTTTTATATGAGGCTTTTGCCCTTGAGAATCTCATGTTCTCATACATAAGTAAACCTGGGGCCACCAGACAGCTCTCCCTT